AATAAATATAAAATGAAACAAAAATATACAAAAGTGTGATGTGAAAGTATTCATACCCCTTGTTTTTTTCTCATTTGATCTTGCTTCCTTATGTAAAAACTGCTTTAAATTACTTTTTTTTCACATCAATCTACACTCCATACACCACAATGACAAAGCAAAAAACAGATTTGTGACAACTTTGCAAATTGATTAAAAATAAAAAAAACTGAAATAAGTGCATTGCATGAATATTCATATCTTACTTAATTGAAGCACCTTTACAGCCTCACGTCTTTTTGGGTATGATGCAACAAGCTTTGCACATCTGCATTTGACAATTATCTGCCATTCTTCGCCTCACCTCTTCAAGCTCTGTCAGTTTGGATGGAGGCCGATAGACATTTTCAGGTTTCTCCAGAAATATTCTATCCCAGGCTCTGTCTGGGCCACTCAAGGACATTCACTGAGTTGTCCATAAGCCACTCTTGTATTGTCTTAGCTGTGTGCTAGGGTCATTGTCCAGTTGGAAGGTGAACCTCCTAAGGTTCAGAATGCTCTGGGCTAGATTTTAATTAAGGCTATCTGTATATTTGCTGCGTTGAGCTTTACTTCTACTCTGATGAGTCTCTCAGTACCTGCCACTGAAAAACACCCTCACAGCACGAGTCTGCGTCACTGTGACCACCACACTTTACTGTTGGGATGCTACTGTGCAGGTGATGAGCAGTGCCTGCTTTCCGCCATACATGATGCTTGGAACTGAGGATCATCAGAGCAGAAAATCTTGTTTTTCACAGTCTGAGAGTCCTGTAGGTTTTCATGTGTCATCACTGAGGAGAGGACTGGGTCTGGCTGTACCGTCATAAAGCCAATATTGGTGGAAAGTTGCAGTGATGTTTGTCCTTCTGTAAGTTTGTCCCATCTCCATATGATCATGGAGCTCAACTAGAGTGACCATCAGCTTCTTTGTCACCACTCTAACCAAGGCCCTTCTCAGTTTGGCAAGGAGGCCAGCTCTAGAAAGAGTTCGGGTTGTTCCAGACTTCTTCCATTAAGGATAATGGAGGCTACATGCTTCTGTGAGCTTTCAATGCAGCAGGATTTTTTCTAAACTTTTCCCCATCTGTGTCGTGACACAATCCTGTCTCTGAGCTCTAGGGTATGAATACTTATGAAATGTACTCATTTCATTTTTTTATTTTTAATAAATTTGCTAAGTTGTTACAAAACAGTTTTTTGCTTTGTCTTTATGGTGTGTGGAGTGTAGATTGATGTGAAAAAAGTGAAGCAGTTCAACATAAGGCAGCAACATAAAATGTGAAAAAAGTGAATATTATGAATAATTTCGCAAGGCACTGTGTGTGTGTGTGTATGTATATATATATTTTTTAATGAATAATTGTGCAACTGTTATATACTCTCTCGAAAATATTGTACTGTTGTGTTTTTATTCATATTGATCAATACAAAATACAAAAATAAATCATTACATTACAAACTCCTTATATTTTTAAAGTGGCTCAAAAACTTTACAGCAATTGGGCATTTAATTCATAACATTATCAGAACAGAAACAATGCGTGTTAGATAAACGTGTTAATGTCATGAAAACCAAAATCACAGTCACATCCCTTAAATCTGTGGCTAAAAAAAAAAGATACATATGGAATACATAAAGTAATATTAATTTTGCCTACAAATCGCTTGCATTTTTCAGTTTTGGTCCCTGTTCAACCCATTTACTGACAGCCATTTAGTGCTGGAGAATATTTACATGTTGGTTGTTTTTGCTGGATTCAAATCACAACCAGTATGACACATGATCTGTATGCAAATTATGTTAATTAAGGCCTGAGTCATGGAATGTCGCTCGATACACATGAGCAGAAGTTTTAAGCTGCCGTGGCGTGATTGCATTAATGATACCTGCTTTATACATACAGCATATCTGCTTTAAACGGCATATTTCTTGAATTTCAGTGTCTGGCATTTGCTACACACAGGTAGCAGAGAGGAAGTGGAAGGCAGGAAACTGTGATTCTGCTTCCTGTAGTAGCAGCCCTGTGTCAAACATGTCTCTATACCAAAACCTTGCTATCTGCTGCCTACATAGTGCGCTGCTAAGTGCACTACTTTCTACTGTCTTCTAAGTCCGCACCATAATCGTTATGGAACTTTGTAATTCAATGATTTGAAATGCTCCACCAAAAATGGATTCCAAACAGTTTGACGTTAGCATGTTGCTAAGCTAATAGACCTTAGGGTTGCGGCGTATTTAATTTTTGGCAGGAATGAAGTCGAGGCTGTGAGGGATAGAAGTACAGTGCGTTCAATGGACTGTACAGTTATTTAACAACATACTGAATGTTCAGCTCACGAAATGTCTTTCCAAAAAAAAAAAAGTTTGGTAGTCAAAAACAGTTTAAAATTTGTGAGTTTGCGGAAATGACATGATCTAGGACCTTTATACAGTGTTTGACATTGTAAAGACTGTAAAGGCCTGTTCACACCAAGAACGATAATTATAAAGATAACGATATTAGCGTCCACACCAGCGGATGATATCGTCTGTTCATTCCAAGCGCACGCTCCTCTGCCGCTTTAAATTCTCAAGCTCGTGACAGCAGGATTGATTCTGATTGGCTGTCAATGTTTTTATCGTTCATCAGCTGGAAAGAAACGTTCTGAAAGTGATTCCAACGATATCGTTTCTCCGTGCCTTTATCGTTATAGTTGTGGTGTGGACTCTGCTATTCTTTAATATTGAGAACGATTTTTAGAACTATATATTTATCATTATCTTTATAGTTATCGTTCTTGGTGTGAACGGGGCTTAAGTCTATCCCTCACAGTTTTCATCTGCGTTAAATTCCATATGGCATCTAATCTGACTAAGGTCTATTGCGTAATAATTATTTGCGATTTTAAGCATAAAAATACATACAAATATTGGGAAAATAATCAATGTATAACTTTTTATTCAGCATTTAATGAAATTTAAGTATATTTATGATTTGCATTTCACATCCGCCATCTTGGATTTTTTTTTACGAAGCTTGTCGCAATGCATTCTGGGATTGCTTTATTTGTAAAATATAATTGATACTTCCTTAAATTTTAAAAGGCAGTTTATTTAGCTGTTATTCGCACTGTAAATTTTTTTTTCAAAGGTTATTGGAGTAGGTTTTACAAGAAAATACCATTTCAGGTTTTCTACTTCAAAATGTCATGTTCAATTGCCATTTCTTTGTAATTTATTATAATATCTACTAGCAATTTCGGAGTGAAAATTGTTTCTACACCAATTTTTTTGTTCAGTAGGTGGCTCACTAGGTTTTGGAACAGGGCTAGTGTTAGCATGCTGGATCATTCATGTGTGCTGGCGAGCTTTTAAACACTTATACTAAGCTATGAGCAGCAAAATAGCAAAAAGTGAAAGCTTGAACAGGACCGTTT